TACAAACCTAAGCTTCGTCATCGGGGACTGGGACATTTGCAGCTCTTTCTTCCAAAACACGTGTGAGGTAAGGTTAGCTAGATCAATCGCCCTCTTCACTTCTAAGTTGTAAGGATGAGTCCGTTTTGTGGGGGGGGGGGGGTAGGTGGAGATACACATGCAGATGAAAGAGGGAGATGCAAACATGGGAGAGATGAAACATGAGCAGAACATGAAAAATGGCTTTAGCAGATCGCGTGACTTTATTTTCTAGAATTTTTGCTTCAGCTCTACTCTACAAGCTTACCCTCCTACATCTAGTCTCCACGGTGCGGCCATTGGTAAAGGAAAACCTAGAGAAACATAAAAATTGTATCCAGCAATGGTCAGTTTTACTAGGTGAAAATGAAATAAAGTACCCCATATATAAATAACCAACGATTTTATTTTGTCTTCTCAGAATATTATTCTCCTTACTTTTCGTTTCACTCCCACTCTACGAGCTACATGTAGTCTCCATGGTGCGGCCAGAAACATAAAAACTGTATCCAGCAATGGTCAGTTTAGCTTGATTTTATTTTTCCTCCAGAAAATCATTCAGAATATTATATCCCCCAAAAATTCCCAAAGGGAAGTAAAAATCCGCCAATATGGCAACCCTGCCAGATTAACAGATGACAGCTAGAGTTGTTGGATAGATAAATACTCGTATAGGGATGTGCTCTCTTTGAAATGAATGTTCCCGATAAATCTTGAAGCTTAAATGATTCCAGAAAAACACGAGAGAGAGGAGAGAGAGATACATTTTATTTGTAACCTTATGATTGATATTTTATTGGGCAAGAAATTTATTTATATAGTATATGGGATATATGAAGAAAAATGTTCAAGCGGCCTCAGTTATTATTGAATGTCAAACAGTCATATTGCCTTGAACAATGAGAAGGGGAGATCGGCTACCACAGGCAATAGCCCCAGAAACCACTACTAGAACAGTCCTGTGTACCTGTGGACGGTATGAGAAAAGTCCAAAGGCATAGTAACAGCTCTACCGATGCTATGTGGTCCGCCTCGGTGGATCACTTGGCCTCCTTCATGTTCCTCTACCTACTTCTATCCGCACACGACACACACACATTACCGTCATTGCAGTACAATTAACATGGTAGCGAATTTCGCGATCGGACAAACCAACATCTCGATTGGCAATAATTCTACCCCTGTCAAGGTTGCTAGCATGGTGATAATTTGCACGTCTTCGGACTCAAGGCATTTTGTTATGTTTAACACTAGTAAATGAAAGGGCAATTACTAAAAATATCTGTACTACTCAGCTCTCAGAAATTACTTTCTTCACAAAAACTAAGAAACATTTTAACAAACGTAAACAAAAACAGAGATAAAACGTTGTCATTGTTGCCACAGCATGCTTTAAATATAGTCTTTATGTCGCCAAGTTGAAGAAATTATTATTTCTGGGTGTAACACTTCTAATGTCACTAAGGGCCAATTTCACCAACGTTAATTTTTAACGCACCCTTGGACCAATATTAAAAGACTTTATCGGAATGCAATTTGACGGAAGCTGTCAAAGCTCTCTGAATATCAGTGATTTCTATTGAAATGTTGAATAAAGTCGTGAAAAAACGGAAATAATAGGTCGATTTTCTAGCTATTATATTTATGGATGTTTCGACTGTTTTTGACGACTGTTCATGCATATCAATCTAATTTTGTCTGTATATCACGTACAGGGTGTTGTTCATAATATGTGCCTGTAGAAATGTACCGATTTTTGTTATTCTGCAAAAAAAGGATATAAAACGTATTCCATCATCTTTTGTTACATCAAAAACAATTTTTGCCAATTTATGATCTAGAAATCCACACCAAATGTAAACAAACTGCACATTCTGCATTTCTGGGTCCTAAAAACATTACTAATTTTTATGGTTTTTTGGACTCAAGAGACATTATTTGTGAAACGCTTTTCATAATCTTTTGTCTATGTCCATAGTAATTGCATTATGCATCAGGGAGATGTAGGGATTGACACCTCTTACACATATGATCTGTGTTTTAGGATGGAGAGGACATAATATTTTTATTGCTTTGAAGAAATTCATTAACCCATAAATTAATAAATGATTATTACTATTATGACGTAAAGGAAGATGAGGAATTGGATGGAATGTATTTTATATTCTATTTTCTTGCAAAACACAGACAAATCCACACTATTCAACAGGTATTTAATGATAACTTTCAGTATATTGAAGTTGGTAAATTCGAGAGTGCCATGCATTAACAAACGTCCAAATCTGCTGCCAAATTTAACAGCTACAAAATCGACCTATTATTTGCCGCATTCCCATTCGCTGAAGGGGATAACGGATTGTTAAATGTAAACCTATAACATATATCAAAATACATGAAAGTTGTCCTGTTTTTCTGTACAAAAGCATCATGTTGGAATCAAAAAGTGGTCGAATTTTCACGATTATTCAATATTTCAATAGAAATCACTAATATTCAGAGACCTTTGACAGCTTCTGTCAAATTGCATTTCATTAAGGTATTTTCCCATTTGTCCATAATATTAATGTTGGTGAAATCGGCCCTAAGTGTATTTGCTAGTCGGAGTAGCACTAAAGTTATGTTAAAACGTCTTCTTGATCTCTTAGGAATTGACATAAAATGGATGTATGTTAGTTCTTTTGTGCTATCTAGGTAGACAGCACCAATTTTCCATATAGGTACATATTTATGTCACTACACAATCAAACAAACATTATAAACCCATATTGTGTGACTCCCACAGCCCTGCACGTGTCACCACGCGTCTTCCCATGGTTTACAATTACCCGGTGGTGTGCCGCACAGCACACCGCGCCGTGGATGTGCCCGCGACACGATTTCCACATAAAACAAAAAGACAATACGTCACGTGAATCTGTGCCTCCGAAATCCCGGATTGCCATGCACGCGATCTTTTGTCTTTCGTTTCCTGACGGCAAAGTGGAACGAACGATCCATTTTTTTCCGGTGTCACGCGTCGCTCAACCGCACGAAGCTTATCGGCGAATTTGTCAAAAATATGTCATAATTTAATGGTTGGTAATGCGACGGGAAGCATGTGAAAGAGTGGAAAGGCAGATGAGTTTATCGAGGTAGTGAGGAGGAATCTCAGGTGGGAATTTCTATAACGGAAATTTGTTTCTGGAAATTGATTATATGTACAGGGTATCCAATAAGTACCACGACAAACTTAACTATATGAAAGTGTCACCGTTCTTGAGATATTGAATTTTTTCTTATATTTTAAAAAAACGAAACCTTTTCATCTGTGGTGTTTAGCTGCATGTACAAATAAGGTTATACTTCCTTAATGTTTTCTATGAAATACTTCTAGAAAGTTGCTTTATGATATACAAATGCAATTTAGTTAAAAGATATTAAGGAACCATGATAAAATAAGGATTTATAACCTTCTGATATTTTTTCTGATGAGGCCAACTAGCAGAAATACGTATCGCTCGGGTTATCTATCCTATCTTCTGCTCGAATCCACTTTCCTCCTTTTTGCGGATTTTGCAGATTATTTTCCGACTTTTTGTTATATATCTTTCTCCGCATGATCATTTTTTCTTTGTAGATCCTTTAGGCTTGAAATACCACAGAAAGTGGCTATAACCAGCCGCGTGGTTGTGGTTAGATGTCTCCTTGAAAATTCGAGGTCTTCTAGCCATTTTATACTACAATGTGTAGGTTGGCTCTTGTTGTGGACTTCATGTGTCGTTTTTTTCCTCTCCATCTTCGCTTCCTCAGGTTAAACCCGTATCTGGATATGTGGGTATGTGTATCTACTTTTATAGTTTCATATTTTCCTACTTTTTATACAGGGTGACTTCGAAGTTGAGTCATTTATTTTAACAGTGAGTAGATCTGATCAAAAGAAATGTTTTTTTCCTTTACCATATTTCTGGTAAAATTAAAGTAACAAAGTTATAGCCCTTTGGAAGTTTGAGTACCGCCCTGTCTCAATCATAATATCATGTGCTCGTGTTTGGCAACAACGGATATAATCCACCTTATCGGTTCATCGCATCGGAAACAAAAAAGCGAAAGAATTTGGAACGATGTTTTTACAAGTTTTTATTCAGTTCAGTTATACATACAGTCAGTGTCAGTCGCGTGTGAATAGTGTCTGTTGCGTGGCTCAAACGAAATAAAAAATGGCACATGTTTATGCGGATCGGTTTCCCAATCGAGTGCAACCATCCCCTCGTGCCTTTGTTAATGTAGTACAACGGGCTCGTGAATCAGGTGACTTAAGACCTCACAGGGGACCTCACGCTCAAATACAGGTCCGCACTGAAATACTTGTCGGGAGGATACTTTATAAAACAAGGTAAACATTTTTTTTTTATTTTTACACACATATTTTGGTTTATCTTCCTTCTACAATCATTATCTGAAAATTAATGACTCAACTTCAAAGTCACCCTGTATATATATACATATAACTTGAGACGTGGTCATTGTCGTCTAGACCAGTTAGGTGAAAAATTAAAGCTTCCACCTTTTGTTGGGTACTTCGACAAAAACTCTAGCAAAGAGGACTCTTTATACTTTATTAATCTCTCTAGCTTTCAATGGTCTTTGCCATCATCATCAGGAGCTGTAATAACATTGAAAAGAATAGCAACAATTGTGCAAAATAGAAGTTAAGTTAACTTATAGCAGTATGTGAGGATGTTTCTAAATGTTATTCACGTTTAGGTTGAGGGAAACACCCAGTGACCTGGTGAAAGCTGGATACATGGTAAAAACGTCAACATTGAAAGCTAGAGAGATTAATAAAGTATAAAGAGTCCTCTTTGCTAAATTTCTGTCGAAGTACCCAACTAAATCTAAGTATAGTTTTTGGAACTCATAGCTCAACACATGGATAATTTATGTGAGACATATTAAGCAATATTTTAAATAATCATTTATTTTACATATTTATATCTATTTTACACATTTCTCAGGTTTCCTTAACTAGTCTATATAAAGGTGGTAGGTGCATGGGCTGGAAAATATCAGGTCCGAATTTACTGTATGAAAACTGTGTATCTTTAGCAAGCCATCCGTACCATCCATTGTAGGTTCGAGGTATAACAAGACTCAGCCTCCTGGAATCTTCCGTGTCTGTACGTTTTTTGTTTACTTTTCTCAGGTATTCAGATTTTATTGTTTTGTCGTTCAACTGACCTCCAAGCTTCCTGAAACCAGTAGCTTGTTGTGCAGCAGTGTTCTATTGCATAATGAAATAGACTACACAATATATCACTAAGGTTACAAAATTACCACATTCATAGTTGAGAAACCAGAAAAAAACTACTTGTATATTTACCTATACTCATCTAGAATCCATCCCCAATGCTCCTGCCACATTTTTGGCGCTTTTTCTTCAGCTTTTATGTGCATCTTCCACATCAAATCATAGCTAGCCTGATCAGGGGCTTTTTTCTCTGTTTTTGATGCTGCCATTTCGACCAAGATGCCTCAAAACTTACTTAACATTCTCCACTCAGAAAATACCGTGTTTGAGGGTTTTCGTAGGAATTGACTAGCACTGTTCGATGTAGAGATGTGAGGCACATTTTCCGCAGGTGTATCGGTACATCAGTAGAATACAGGATGGCGCAAAACGAACGTTCTATACAGGTTGGCGCATCGAATTGCTCAAATAATGCGAAACCATTGACAATTTGTTTCTATTAATTATTGTCTTTTTCGTCTACACCCATAGTGAATATGAATTTAAACAAAAAATATGCCTTTTATTATATACTAAGTGACATATAAATCCGAACACCCAGTTTAAATGGTTTTATTTTAATAAAAGTTGGTGAATGTATTTAACTTACTGTAAATAACAAGTGAACAAATTTTCAGCCTTATCAGTTGGACACTCCGGTTTTTATACTGCTTTTTTTAATTCACTAACGCTCTAAAAATGAATATTTCAGCCGCAGTAAAGAATCAACGTTGGCGGATTTTGGTTCTTGACATCCTTTACGATCGGTTACGATGCCTAGAGTACGGAGACCTGTACGATTTGGTCAACTTAGTGAGTTTGATAGTGGCCGTATAGTGGGACTTCGGGAAGCTGGACTTTCTTTTCGGGCAATTGCAGTTAGAGTGCAAAGAAGTGTAGACACTGTGGTTAGGTGTTGTCAGGCATGGCTTCAAGAAGGCCGTACGCAAAGAGCAAGGGGCACTGGACGCCGCCGTAGAACAACAGACCGTGAAGATCCCTGCCTTAGGTTATTGGCCTTAAGGGACCTTTTCTCCACTACCAGGTCCATTACAAATGAATGGTTTGCAGAACACGGAAGACCTATTGGCATGCGAAGTGTTTACCGACGAATGAGAAGTTTTGGCTTGTTTTCATACCGGCCACACTGGGTCCTCCCTTTAACTCGAGAACACCGACGTAATCGCCTTGAGTGGTGCAGACAACGGTCACTCTGGGATCAGGAATGGAACAGTATTGTCTTTAGTGACGAGTCTTGATTTTGTTTAGTCATGCACGATGGTCGTGCCAGGGTTAGAAGGCGACGTGGTGAAAGGAGGAATCCACAGTTTTTTGTTGAAAGACATGTTCATCACACTGTTGGAGTTATGGTTTGGGGTGCGATAGCTTATGGTTCCAGGTCACCTTTAATCTTCATCAGAGGTAACATGAACGCGCAGCGTTATATCCACGAAGTTCTAGAACCCCATCTTTTACCCTATCTTGACACCCTGGCAGATCCAACTTTCCAACAAGATAATGCCCGACCACATGTTGCAAGAGTCACAATAGACTTCTTTCAACATAATCATGTCACATTGTTACCATGGCCACCAAGATATCCCGGCTTATCTCCAATTGAGCACGTGTGGGATATGATGGGTAGGAGATTGCTCAATTTGCAACGTCCTCCTCAGACTCTAGAAGCACTTCATGAGGAGTTGGTGGTTGCCTGGAATGAGATACCACAGGAGGACATTGACCACCTGATCAGAAGCATACCTAGGCGCGTTGGAGAATGCGTAGCACATCAGGGTGCGTCCACACATTATTAAAGGTCAAAGGGCTTTAAAGCAGTGCAATCATTTTGAAATTTTTATCATTTACTTATTATGCTTCATTAAGTATTTATACAAAATTTTATTAAAATAAAACCATTTAAACTAGGTGTTCGGATTTATATGTCACTTAGTATATTAGAATTACTTACTTACCTTTTAATTTAAATTTCTTTAGCCTAAATTCTAGGTTTTGGAACAAGATATCGAGATATGGTATTCGCGAGCTTGTTTAATCATCATTCAGCTACTTTTTCGTAAAAAAAATCATACCAATGCACTTAACGTTTTTGAGAAAATTAACCAAATGTCGGAATGTCGAAAAATGACCTCTAGCGGCCACATGTGAAACTAACACGACTTCAAATATCATATCATTCGTAGCCCAGGAATAGCTCTTTTCAACTAGCCCAAGTTTGTTAAGATCGGTTCAGCCGTTTCGAAGATACAGGGTGTTCTTTGAATACCTCCCACCACTCTATTTTTAAAGATACAGCAAAAATATAGCGGAAACTCACAGAAACATCGCTTTTTTAGATTCATGATTACGGTTACGCCCCATAGCGGCCATTTCAGAAACTTGACAAAGTCTTCCAGGTTTTTCTCTTTGCCGTTTTAGTGAGAACTCTTTTTGGCGCAAGCCTCTACGACGGATAGGTTCCCAGAAACAGTACCTCGCATTCGTAGTTGGCCACCCTGTACTTTACCCTCACACTTGTGTACCGTACAGCAGTGCCCATCACTACTATCAAATCGCGTTGTATAAAAATAAATCGATATGCTTGTAGGTCATGAATAAAGTTTGATCGTTGATCGCACGGAAGCGTGAGGGCTGATTTATTGGGTTAGCCAAAAAGTCTGTGGTATGATTGAGATTAAACGAATTATGTTTTTTTTACACAGAAGCAGCCGCGCAGGCAAAAGCCTAAGTGTATGATATGAGGGGCTTAAAGAATCTTTGTTATTCTGATTTCACTGGTGAACAAAATTAAAACAATTTTTTGTGACATGGACAAAACAAGGTACCCAAAAAGCCGGAAATAGCATTCGATTTTTTCTATCACCCACGGTTTTCTTGCAATAAGGTATTTTATTTGCTGCTTATAAAATATAAGGATATGTGTGTAAGAGTACCCAGTTTACGGTTCGTATATACAGGGTGGCGCATCGAAAGCGAAACAGTCGCTATTACTGGCAGCTCAGTTGTTCTTTTGGAAAAACGCTCAGACCCATTGATTTCGTTTTCGAGGGGGACACAAGTTTGGCAAAAAATCACGTTAACACGTGCAGCCCTCTGGGCGGGGGTGACACCAACCCTAAAATTTTAAATGGAAAAGGGGGTCAAGTGATACCTTATTTTAAAGGCCTTTCAATTACCTTTATAATGATGTAAAATACATGAGCTTCAGTTCAGTAGTTTTGAAGACTTATTGATTTAGAGCTTAAAGTAGACTTTAATAGCTACATCAGATTAGTTTGTACTACTTTCAGAAAAAATTTGACTAAAAGAATTTACTTAATAAGTAAATGCTTCTCTTCACTACGCCCATGTTTTGTTTATCATTTTGTTGTTGAAAATAGCTATTGGAGCGTTTTTTTGTGGCAAAAAAGTTATTCCTTGAAGAAAGATAAGTAAATATCTCGTACTTATTTTAATTAGGAATTTAGTCCATAGTTTGCGATTGATTTGACCAATCTTTGTTGCTAAAATAACTTGTAACGCTTTATTACATAAATTAACCATGGTATATTCCACAGCAGAAAGAGTTGAAATTATCGAAATATTTTTAGGAAATAATCAGTGCGCTAATAGAACAGCAGAAATATTTAATGAGCGACATGAGAACAGTAACGTGCATCAAAAATATGTTCTAGAACTTGTAGCTAAATTTCGGGAAACTGGGTCGCCAATAAAAAAAGGCAACATTGAAAATCCCATAAGGAAGGAAGCAATAGAAGTGGGGGTTTTAGGGCAAGTTTATGTAGATCCCCAAGATCGCCAGATTTATCACCTTTGGATTTCTTTGTGGGGTCATTTAAAAAGCAAAATCTATGCTACTCAGCCAACATCATTAGAAGACCTGCGACAAAGAATTGTGAATGAGTGCCTTCAAATTACTCCTCAAATATTGCAAAATGTGCGGCAACGTTTTGAGCAAAATCTTTATTATTGCATGGAGAGTCATGGTGGCCATTTTCAACATTTACTTGCATAACGGGTCAGTTCATTCTTCATTTTTAAATTACTTAGCTGCCAAACCTGTTGATCTCCACTAATGATGATGTATTAGTTTCATTTAAGCTTTAAATCAATAAATCTTCAAAACTACTGAACTGAAGTACATTAATTTTATATCATTATAAAGGGAATTGAAAGAACTTTAAAATAAGGTATCACTCGACCCCCCTTTCCATTCAAGATTTTGGGGGTGGTGTCATCCCTGCTTAGGGGGCTGCACGTGCTAACGTGATTTTTTGCCAAACTTGTGTCCCCTTCGAAAACAAAATCGACGGATCTGAGCGTTTTAAAAAAAACTGAGCTGCCAGTAAATGCGTCTGTTTCGTTTTCGATGAGCCACCCTGTATGTGTATAGTCAGATATCTGCTTTAGAACTACTACCCGGATTTCATCAAAACCAGCTGAAAATTCGCTTGGCAAACTGGCCAAAGTTTACTTATTGTCTCTCTTGTCAACTGGGAGCAAAAATAAAGTGGGAATCGCATTGACTTCCTAAATATCAAGACGGCCATGAGTTTGTGAAGAGATATCAAACCTTTCCTGAAAGACATCAGCAGTTTGCTGGGCCTCTTTTATTATTATACACCATTATGAAGAATAGAACCCTTTAGTTAGTAGTACAGAACCTGTCAATTACGACTGATATCTTGCGTCCAGAGAGTGAGTCAACTGACCATCTGCAAAGCTTCTCTGGGAGGCCATAGGATGGAAGTTAGCATAACAGGGCAGCATGTTACAGCTGATTGAACGCGTTCATGATATGAAGAGCAACAACAAGAGCCTCACCATAAGAAAGGATGAGTTTACTCCACAGTTGCGTGACGTAAGCTAGGAGAAACCTTGGAGATCGTTAGTGCTGGTGATCATACCGACTATTGCTAATTTTAATTCTAATTCTATGAAAGCATTTTTGCATTTATCTATATGGCAAACTCGGTATGGTAAATGCAAAACCTGGAATCATAAGAAAACACATACACACTGTACTCTAGTCAACAAAGAGGATTTGTTTGTTATCAACAATTAAAAGTAGACTATACACAGTTCTGTGATACTTCTTACTTCTGTCACATTTTGTGACAGTGACACATTTGTGCAGGTGATAGTAAAAAAAATTATTTATTGACTCGGTATTGAGTTAGAGCTGCGTAAAACTAGAGTATCATGACAACCGACAGGAGAAAGATACGTGATCTAAATACTGCAGATCAAATGTGGAAGGTATATATTCGAGCTGAAGACGACTCTGGAAAGATATGGAGAGAAAACTGGGGATGGGTCATGGATGAGTACAGGTAAGAAGCGTGTCACGCAAATAACACTGATAAACACAGGATTCGTGACATGACAATTTTTTTATGTATTTTGCGGCCCTTAAATCAAATCTAAAAACAGAATTTTTCTATCACCCGCAGATATTCGGTAACATTTCTCTGCGTTTATGCGATGACGCACATATATAATGTTAAGACCTGTCTATTCCTGTTTATTATATGCGAGCTCTATGTTTAGAGAGTATATTGCCGTTATTAATAGACTAATAGCAGCCGAATCAGTTACGTTTTCTGGGTTGAAGAGTACTGTTAATTTTTGTTAAAACGGTGTGTTGTTTTTAGTTTATTGTGATCGAGACTAGCTTTATGGATAATGCCTAGAAATTGTGGAAATAGTGCGAACAGCTTTTATGTGGGCGGAGAGCTAACTTTTAAATCCCAAAAACGTACTTTTACTCTCCTTGTGTTGAAAGCTTACGAACTTTATTTTGGAATTAAAGTTGGCGACCAAGATAAACTATGGGCCCCTCATATATGTTGTAAGACTTGTGTAACGTTGTTAACAGGTTGGTTAAGAGGCGACAATCGTATAATGCCCTTTGCGGTACCAATGGTTTGGAGAGAACCGAGAGACCATACTACTGATTGCTATTTTTGCCTCACAAATATTAAAGGTATTCGACCAAAATCGAAACATACTGATAAGTATTTTAATTGACCATCAGCTTTGCGGCCCGTTAAGCATAGTGATGAACTTTCTGTCCCTGTTCCACCAGAATCTTAGTCGTTGGATGAAAAAGTCGAATCCACCGATTCTGAAAGTGATAGCACAGAAAGCGTAAACATTTTCGATCCTTAGCTTGACCTGCCAGGATGTTCAACAGAACTTTTTTATTAAAAGGATGGAATCTTCTCCACGGTGATGTTAATATTACTTTTTGCCGAAAACGGTAACAATACCTCACGCACTGTTTCCGTCAAGAAAGGGAGTTGATATATTGCTCCGATGTCATAAATGCATATTTAAAGGTAACAGCCCTTCTTCTTGGAATGCACCTGGGATATACCAAGTATTGTTGTTTTCTTTGTGAATGGGAGATCGTCATTATGAACAGGAGTGGCCACTACGTCAGGTATTAACTCCGGGCATCAAAAACATTGCCCATCAACCACTAGTTGATCCCAAAAACGTGTTGCTTCCACCTGTGCATATTAAGTTAGGACTGATGAAAATTTTTGTGAAAGATATGGATCGAAATGGAAGAGGATTTCTGCATTTAAAACAATCATTTCCGAGACTTAGTGAGGCAAAAATTAAAGAGAGTATATTTGTGGGTCCATCATGAAAGATGATGTATTTGTCAGTACTCTAAATGAGCTTGGAATGCTTTTAAATCAGTTACTGCAAATTTTTTAGGCAATGTGAAGGCGGATAATTATAAAGGTGTTGTGAGTGAACTAATTAATGCTTATAAAAAAAATTCACTTTTTGGATTCTCATCTCGATTTTTTTCCGGAAAATTTAGGTGTGGTAAGTGACGAACATGGTGAACAGTTCCACCAAGACATTTTTGCTATGGAAAAAGGGTATCAAGGCAAATGGAGTGTCAATTTGCTTGCAGATTATTGCTGGACATTGTTAACAGATACTTCAGGAGCAACATATCGCCGTAAAATATCGACAACAACATTTTGAGATTAATGTTTATTCGACTGTTGATTAGTACTCTTACACACATATCCTTATATTTTACGAGTATAAGCAGCAAATAAAATGCCTTATTGTAAGAAAACCGTGGGTGATAGAAAAAATCGAATGCTATTTCCGGCTTTTTGAATACGTTTTACATAATAACCACCTTGTTTTGTCCCTGTCAACAATAACTTTAATGGAATGCGAGGCAAATTCTTTAAGTATGTCTTGATGCTTCCATTCCTCGTAGATTTGAAGATGTTGAAAAATTCATTTATTTCAAACAATGCTGCCCTCAGTCATTAGAAACTCGAAAATATCCAAATTTGAAGTTTGGGACGTCCTGAAATTTTTCCGTTCTAGCTCATAACTTTTGAATTGAACTTTAAAATTCACAGGTTTTTTCCGTCCCTGGTATAACCTCGTATATAAATTGTATCAACATTCTGGGCTATTTACAGTAATTTACATTCTGGAATTATTCATGTTTTGAGTAAAGCTATTTTGCTAAACAGGATATCCCAATATTCCGTGAACACAGGAGAACCACGTATTTTTAGGTTTGAACGTGCTTTATGCCTATGCAAAAGTGCTATGCTAGAGGGCGTCAAAGTTCCCTTTTTGAAAAACATTTCCGAAAATATTTTAGGAACCGATAGTCTTATTTGAATGAAATTTGAAAAACATGTTTTGCTAGATGTTGTAATATTTGACTTTTACGAAAAACTAGAGGGTTCGAAAAGGGTGACAACTACCCTCACTTCTACATGAATTAGAACAGAATTTTTTGGCAGCTTTTCCGACGTGTCTGATTTTTCCTTATTTAGCAGAGGCTATTTACTTCAATATCATTTGAAGGTCAAGTCCATTTTTTTAATAGATCCCCCAGTTTTAACTTAAATGAGAGGAGGAGAAAATTTTACGTTCAAATGTGGTCTTGACCGTACTTAAGTGTTGACCTTGAGAGGTCATCATCAAGGTCAAACCCAGAGATATAACTTGAAAGCCAGTAGTCGTATAGGGAAGGTATTAAGAAAGAGATTATTTTCACGATTTTTCACCTGATATCCAAGGGTCACCTTGGATATGACCTTCGCCATGATTTATAAGGTGACTTGAAGGCCAACACTTTTTTAATGGGACCCTATACTTTTGACCGCGGCAATGGAGAAAACGAAAAACTTTCTGTCCGAATATGTCTCTGACCATTTTCGGAACTTGACCTTGGACTTGAGGATCAAGGTCAAACGCATCTTCTGCTTAAATTCTTGATGATTCAGAATAGTCTGTAATCTTCAGACAAACTGGCTTCACTGTCCTTTCAGGATTGTTCTCTCGCTACAAAAATCAACCTGACCTTCATATGACCTTAAGATTTATTATGGTTAAGGTCAAACTCAAGGCCACCATTTAATAGCTGGGGAAAACTCCTATCAATCTCGAGGCTTAGTTCCGGAACGCTTCAAACACCCTGTATATGTTTGTGATCAGAAAAAAATGACTATCATCTGGGCTATTTACAGTAATTTACATTCTGGAATTATTCATGTTTTGAGTAAAGCTATTTTGCTAAACAGGGTATCCCAATATTCCGTGAACACAGGAGTACCACGTATTTTTAGGTTTGAACGTGCTTAATGCCTATGCAAAGGTGCTACGCTAGAGGGCGTCAAAGTTTCATTTTTGAAAAACATTTCTGAAAATATTTTAGGAACCGATAGTCCTATTTGAATGAAATTTGAAAAACATGTTTTGCTAGACGTTGTAATATTTGACCTTTACGAAAAACTAGAGGGTTCGAAAATGGTGACAACTAACCCCCACTTCTACATCAATTATGACAGAATTTTTTTGGCTACTTTTCCAACGTTTCCGATTTTTCCTTACTTAGCAGAGGCTATTTACTTCAAGGTCATTTGAAGGTCAAGTCGATTTTTTTAATAGATCCTCCAGTTTTGACGCCGTAAATGAAAGGAGGAGAAACTTTTACGTTCAAATATGGTCTTGACCATTCTTAAATATTGACCTTGAGAGGTCATGATCAAGGTCAAACCCAGAGATATAACTTGAAAGCCAGTAGTCGTATAGGGAAGGAATTATGAAAGACATAATTTTCATGATTTTTCACCTGATATCCAAGAGTCACCTTGGATATGACCTTGGCCAGCCCAACACTTTTTTAGTGGGACCCTATACTTTTGACCGCGGCAATGGAGAAAACGAAAAACTTTCTGTCCGAATATATCTCTGACCATTTTCGGAACTTGACCTTGGACTTGAGGATCAAGGTCAAACGCATCTTCTGCTTAAATTCTTGATGATTCAGAATAGTCTGTAATCTTCAGACAAACTGGCTTCACTGTCCTTTCAGGATTGTTCTCTCGCTACAAAAATCAACCTGACCTTCATATGACCTTAAGATTTATTATGGTTAAGGTCAAACTCAAGGCCACCATTTAATAGCTGGGGAAAACTCCTATCAATATCGAGGCTTAGTTCCGGAACGCTTCAAACACCCTGTATATGTTTGTGATCTGAAAAAAATGACTATCATCTGGGCTATCTACAGTAATTTACATTCTGGAATTATTCATGTTTTGAGTAAAGCTATTTTGCTAAACAGGGTATCCCAATATTCCGTGAACACAATAGTACTACGTATTTTCAGGTTTGAACATGCTTCATGCCTATGCAAAGGTGCTACGCTAGAGGGCGTCAAAGTTTCCTTTTTGAAAAACATTTATGAAACTATTTTAGAAACCAATAGTCCTATTGAATGAAATTTGAAAAACATGTTTTGCTAGACTTTGTAATATTTGACTTTTACGAAAAACTAGAGGGTTCGAAAAGGCTGACAACTACCCCCACTTCTACATCAATTATGACAGAATTTTTTTGGCAACTTTTTCAACGTTTCCGATTTTTCCTTATTTAGCAGAGGCTATTTACTTCAAGGTCATTTGAAGGTCAAGTCGATTTTTTTAATAGATCCTCCAGTTTTGACGCCGCAAATGAAAGGAGGAGAAAATTTTACATTCAAATATGGACCATTCTTAAATGTTAACCTTGAGAGGTCATGATCAAGGTCAAACCCAGAGATATAACTTGAAAGCCAGTAGTCGTATAGGGAAGGTATTAAGAACGACATTCTTTTCATGATGTTTCACCTGATATCCAAGAGTCACCTTGGATATGACCTTGGCCATGATTTATAAGGTGATTTGAAGGCCAACACTTTTTTAGTGAGACCCTATACTTTTGACCGCGGCAATGGAGAAAATGAAAATCTTTCTGCCCGAATATGTACCTGACCATTTTCGGAACTTGACCTTGAATTTGAGGATCAAGGTCAAACGCAACTCCTGCTTAATTTATTTATGATTCAGAATAGTTTGTAATCTTTAGACAAACTGGCTTCACTGTCCTTTCAGGATTTTTCCCTCGCTACAAAAATCAACTTGACCTTCACATGATCTTAAGATTTATTATGGTTAAGGTCAAACTCAAGGCCACCATTAAATAGCTGGGGAAAACTCCTATCAATCTCGAGGCTTAGTTCCGGAACACTTCAAACACCCTGTATATGTTTGTGATCAGAAAAAAATGACTATCATCTGGGCTATTTACAGTAATTTACATTCTGGAATTATTCATGTTTTGAGTAAAGCTATTTTGCTAAACAGGGTATCCCAATATTCCGTGGACACAGGAGTACCACGTATTTTTGCTATTTACTTCAAGGTCATTTGAAGGTCAAGTCGTTTTTTTAATAGATCCGCCAGTTTTGACGCCGTAAATGAAAGGAGGAGAAATTTTACGTTCAATTATGGTCTTGACCATTCTTAAATGTTGACCTTGAGAGGTCATGATAGAGGTGAAACCCAGGTGCAGTGATATAACTTGAAAGCCAGTAGTCGTATAGGGAAAGTATTAATAAATACATTACTATCATGATTTTTCACCGGATATCCAAGGGTCACTTTGGATATGACCTTGGTCACGATTTGTAAGGTCATTTGAAGGCCAACACTTTTTTAATGGGACCCTATACTTTTGACCTCGGCAATGGAGAAAACTAAAAAATTTCCGTCCGAATATGTCTCTGACCATTTTCGGAACTTGACCTTGGACTTGAGGATCAAGGTCAAACGCAACTTCTGCTTAATGTCTTGATGATTCAGAATAGTCTGTAATCTTCAGATAGACTGACTTCACTGTCCTTTCAGGATTGTTATAGTTAAGGTCATATCCAAGGTCACTATTGGAGATCCAAGATATTATGAAAATAGTGTCTCGGTAGTTTCCGTATACGACTAATGCTTTTCAAGTTATATCACTGTACCTGGGCTTGACTTTGACCATGACTTCCTTAGGTCAAAACTTAAGAATGGTCAAGACGAAACTTGAACGTAAACTTTTCCGCACTTTTCATTTACGAGGTCAAAAATGGAGGGTTCCGTTGAAAAAACTCGACTTGACCTTAAAATGAACTTGAAGATCAAAGTTCCGGAACAGAAAACGACTATCATCGTCACTAAAGTTTGAGGGGTGTTCTTTTTATTTTGAAAAATACCACTTTATTTGGTAGTACTTTTCTATATGTAAAAGAGATACCTTAAAAATTGTCTACAAAACCTTTTTCTAAATTGTCCGGTAATACTAAAACGTTACGCCTTCTCCCTTTTACTGCGGGAGATCCCGTACATGTTATACAGCATCCAAAAAACACGTCACATTCTCGAAGTTCCTCGCGATTCCAATACTTTATCGCCAGTGACATGAGAAGTCATATAAATAAAGATTTTTGAAGTGATGTATCCAATAGAAGATGTATTGCATTCCATTTGCAGAGAATTGAAGGAAAAACTTGATAAGAAAACAGCTGAATCTGAATTCTTAAGCGGAGTAACACCACCTCGAGAAATTCCAAGTAAAAAGATCTCTCCTGTCCCTGAAAGCTATAACCACTGGTACGGGTGGATTGCTAAAGAAGAGGACTTCAAAATAGAAAAATACGGTCCAGATTTCTTCAAGCCAAAGCCTTTACCAGAAATATATAAGATAATAAAGGAGTAAATCTACATTGTGAGAGTTTAGTGCGGGATCGGCCTATATCTCCACTATTATGCACGGTATCTAAAAAAGTTGGGCACATGAATTGTCGCCAACAGTATGCTTCTAATTTGGAAAATATTTCTACCTATACAGGGTGATTCATAACTACGTGGTGACCCAAACTTACATGTTTGTTAAGAAAGAGCCCTAAATTTTTATACGGATTTTGATGGACCCTTTAAAACGAAGAAACTTGATGTAAAATACAATAGGGTGTAATTTTCAAATTATCGCAACATTGGACAATCTATCTGATAGCTAGAGTATTGTATTGCTAGAAAAATGTTATGATCCCATATTTTCTCCCTGCCCACTTTCTTTTCCAGTTTTTTTTGGATAGTTTATACAGTGTGAGCAAGAGCGCAAAATCAACTATTTCTCAAAATTTTTAAATGGAACACCCCGCCTATTTTTACTTATTTTGATTACCCTTTTCACAGTCTTAATTTTAAATCTCCTCGGCTAATGATGTCCAGTCTGTTTCTTTTTTTCGTTAGGAGATTGGTAACAGCGCTGAACCCTCTTTCCACTAGGTATGACGATGGAAAGGAAATTTCCTCGCTATATTCCATAATAGGGGATAAGTAACGGGTATGTTGTTTTGCAGCCAGAATTGCTGATATCCGTTTTTAAACTGAACCTTAAGTTCTTCGTTTGTACTTAGTTCAGTCAGTTCCTCTTGTATTATGACATTCGTTTCTTCTATGTCACCATATGGATTAATTATCCACGGTGGTATTACCATAGCCAAAATATCCTCAAACCTAGATTCAAAATCTGAATAGAGGGCATTTAAATGTTGATCGTAAGTTGAAACGTCGTCTTCCTGGCAGCTTGTCTGTGACAAATTGGGGAACTGAGAAAATTCGCCCCGTCCAATATTTTGCTTCATTAGTTTAACTCTGGCAAAAAACGCTGATAAGATGGACTTTGTTTTAATCAAATTTAAACTGTCGCCTTGTAATTGCAAATTAACCATATTAAATTTTGTAAACAAATCTGTTAAATAGGCAATGTCTGTTTTCCTCTTCATTAAATTTTCTTTTAAAATTTTATCTTTAGTATCCAGAAATTCTAAAATAGTCTCAAAAAGTGCAAAAAATCTTGTCAAACATAAGCCTTTCGACAGCCAGCGTCCTTCAGTGTGAACGAGTAATTGATGAAAGTGTTCGTCATTTTCTTCACACAACTGCGCAAATAACTGTGTATTCAACGCGTTGCTTCGGATTCGGTCTACTGCATCAATGACTAAATGAAGTGATTCATGCAATCTAACACTCAAATTTTTAGCAACTAAATGTTGTCGATGGATGACGCAATGTATTGCTAACACCCCTGACACATTTTGTTTTACATAGCTTATAAATCCACGATAACGTCCAACCATGGCAGGTGCTCCATCTGTAGCTACTGATATTATATTTGATAACGGAATTGCTTTTTCAATGAAGTAATCCTTCAAAACATGAAATATTGATTCACCATTAGTGTCGGTTATCAAAGTTCTTGCGAAGAGCAGTTCTTCATAGATTTCTTGATTCATAATAAAACGAACATATGCCAATAATAATGCTGCATTATCAGGTAAAGTTGACTCGTCCAGTTGTATAGAGAAATGAGTCGTTTGCAAATAATTACATAAGAAGCTTTCAATATCAGAACTCATTTCATCAATACGTCTTTCAACAGTATTGTTGCTTAAGGGAATTCTTTTAATGATATCAGATGCAGGTTTGTGTAAAACAGTTTTTAAAACCTCTTCAACGGCTGGCAAAATTAACATCTCTCCGATAGTATGCGGTTTTCCGGATTTTGCTATAAGTAACGAGATATTGTAAGACGTTCGCAAACCATCAACATTTCTTTGTGTCGAAGCGAACATTCTGTCCAGTGTAGGTCTCTTCTGAAATTCATCTTTTAGCGTTTGAAAGTATTTCAAATCTTTCTCTGTTTTATCAGGGTGGCATCTTCTCAGATGATCTTGCAGTTTAGATGGTTTCATAGTGTCATTGCCCAAAACTTTGTTGCATAAAAGGCACATAGGCGATTGTTTGTCCGGCAATGATGGAATGAAGCCAAATTTCAAATAATCAACACTGTACTGTCTAAATTTCTTTTTAGATTCGGACATGGCATCAGTCCTCTGTGGGCAAAATTAAATTATTTAAATAAGACAGAAAATCCAGCAGCTGTATATTAAAAATATTTTTTGATTTTTCCGAAAACATAATTCGAACACCTTCTTGCAACAATTAGCTCGAATTACGGAGATTGCACTGTAATTATATTACCGATTGCTAAAACTTTCAAAAAGAAACTATTGAGGAGTACTCGTGTAATTTTGCATGATTGAATATTTAACTTCTAATAACTAAAGTCATGATTGGCGTAATTTATCTATCTTTGGCAAGCACAAGTACAAAACTAAAATTTAATAAAAAAATAATGTACTTACTTTTCTCCAGCACTCTCAAACAAAATAACACTGACTTACTATAATTTGTGTGATATACTATCTGCTTATATTTTTAAAATATTTTCTTAGCACTTTCCTTTTCAAGATTCAGGAAACGAATAATCGTGTTTGTCCCACATTCGTATTTATAGAGTGACGAATTGAACAAGTCAGTGCAAGGTAGCGAAGCTTTGAGACTGCGACTCTCAGGTTTTTACAAGTTCAAAATGTATTGCGACCACAAAGCGAGTACCAACATCCTACAACTTACAAAATTTTATAAACATATATAATAAATTTTTTACTCCATAGGTACTTTTATAAATAATGTATATGTTTTGATATTATAGGATAGTATGATGTAAGTAAATAGGTACTATCAGTGTATGTGTTGAGATCCACTATCGTGGACCCCCATATTCATTTCATGGACCCCCAAATTTTTTTTCGCTGACGTAGACCCCTTGCAGGTTGTCATAGATCCCTAGGGGTCGATATAGACCACTTTGGGAATCAATGGGTTAGATGGTGTTTGAGTGACAATGCTTCTTGAATGCAATCTTGAATTGTGTGTTACCAGAACGCAAGTAATATCCAAAGTAGGTCGCCTTTTCCCTCTACCGATCCTGTCTGTATCCCCATAACAGCAGCGCTTCTGCTTTGTCTTCTAATAGATCGCGGAGCGCGAGCGCGGGTGGAGCCTCCCTAACCGGAAATGACCCACTTCCTTCCGGCGTTTAGCCAATGAGACGGCCTTGTTACGTAACCATGGCAACGGAGCGCCGGATATTACGACACACCCTCGCTTGAACAGCGTCGTAGAAAATACTCCCTGAATCGTTAAGCTTATACATTAAGCGAGATGTACCCGCACAGAGCTGTCTACAAAGCTAAGCAAAAACAACAGAAGATAATGATGTTCAAAACTGGGCCCTTGTTCTGTTATCGATTTAAAAAAAGGACCTCGCTGGAACATTATTTTTTGTCTTAGGGACATCAATACAATTCGTATTCCTGGTGTTGACTGACAATGTTAGTGTTATGCCTTTTTTTATATTCCATACCGTATATTCAACATATATATGCTGCGTGACAAAAAAGGTAAACGCCTACGTCTGTTTATCCGATTTTAATAATTTTTAGCATATATGATATATGTCCCGTACTAGTAAAAAGATTAAATTTTCAGCTTGATTCCTCAACTGACTGCAGAAACTGGTTCAATAATGTGTTGAGGATCCACGATTTCTTATACATTCATTGATACGCCTGGGCATCGTGTTGATAGGGTGGTTGATATCCTATTGGGGTATCACATTCCAGACTACTTTAACTTCGTGAGAAAGAGCTGCTAAAGTCTTTGGAGGGTGTTGCAAATTCAAGAGCCTGCGCCTTTCAAGTCCCAGACATGTTCAATTGGAGATAGATAAGGCGATCGTGGTGGCCAGGGTAAGCGGTTGATACGATGTTGGATCCATGAAGGCTAACGATGCTCTGGCAACGTGTCATCTGGCATTGTCCTGCTAAGAAATTGGGTTTTGGATGGTGTTTAGGCATGGAATAAGATGAGGCTCCACATACTTCCTGAATATAGCGTCATATTGCCTATGATAGCAAACTTAACAGTAAAGCCTGACTATTTTATCACTTGTTGTTCATGGCAAGATAAATCGATTCTACTAAGCATATACGTAAGTGTTTACCTTTTGGTCACTCAGTATAGTTATATAAAGAGTGTTTGATTCATGGAAAAGCCGAAAAATACTATAATGACGCGAATTATTAAATATACTCTTTAACATTGCTTTTTGGATTGTCTCCAACTGTCGTAAAGTACCCGAGGGGTAAAAAGGCCCACCAGATATTAAGGCCCAACGCTGGTTTGCCCAAAGGAAAGCGCCTAAAATATTTATATCGCCATCTGTTAATAATATTTAGTATTACTGTTGCCGGAAGTGTAACTTTGTTCTATGGTTATGAGCATGAGCTTCCTGGCTTGTTCTATGGTGTCACGTTTCGCTGTGCTGTATTTTATAAGAATTTCGACCGGTAAGTAAGCAAATTAAATTGTTTTAATAATACGTAGATTTTTCATTATGTATGCATGATAATCTATGTATCTGATAGTTTCATTTTACGTAGCGTTTCTTTTTATGTTGGGTTTGTTTGTTGTTTAATAACCTCAAAATTAATTTTATTGTGCTACTGGTTATAAGGCCCGGGCCTTATTTTCTACAATGCATTGAAAATGGCTTGGGCTTTATTTTCTGCTGCCATGAATACACGTATTCATTAGATTTATTTATTCTTTTACAGAAGATGGGTAAAAAAAGCAGAGGGATAAGGGCAAATTGGGATGAAGGGATGATGAGAGAGGCATTAAATTATATTAACGAAGGAAAATCTCAGCGCTGGGTGGAACAAAAATGCGGAATACCCAGACGAACACTTAGGAACCACATTAAATCACAAAAAGCGTGAAGATAAAACTAGGTAGACAAACAATTTTGACCGATAATGAAGAGACTGACCTTGAGAATAAAATAATTCGGCTAGCCGATAAAGGTTTTCCACTAACACCAAAAGCATTAAGAAGGTCTGTGTTCAGGTATGTTGAGCAAAAGAAAATTAAGCATTGTTTCAATCAGGAAACTCGTCTCGCTGGTAGGGAGTGGGTAAGGACTTTTCTGAAAAATCATCCGAGAATATCTAAACGTCGATCTCAATTCATGAATCCAGCAAGAGCCCAAAAATTAAATCGTTTTATCATAGAAGATCATTTCAAAAAA